AGAACTCGTAGCCTGGGCCAAGCATGCTGAAAATTCCTGCAACAAAATCTGAATTTGCTTAAAGTAGCACAACGAGGCCAGTCCACTGGTGGTGCTGGGCGCTGGCAATCCGGAAGTATTGAGTCTTACAGCCGAGTTTGCGTGAAATAGAAGTAGACCAGATATGTGGAGGGAATAATAGGAAATTTGATGTCGAGAGATTTGATGTCTTTAGAATACAAGTGATTAAAAACCTCGGCACATTGTCGCTACAGCTGCCAAATCGTTTTGCTATCTCATCATCGTTGCTTTTACAACAAAAACACATATCTGTAGGCGAAAATGATATGCTGGCAAACGATATTTACAAGCTGGTGCTGATCGAAAACTGCTATTATTCAATTTCAACAATGCCCTGGTCAAGAAAAACAAGAATTTTTTGGCTTCAACAGCTTCCACAATGTAAAAAATCGCAAACTGCAGACTGATTAGAACTTCGAAAAGAAAAACAACTTATTATACTTCTGCTATACATTAAAATGTCCAACAGTAAACTTAACGGAAAAAAAAAAAACAGGTAGGCACTGCCAAGATATAAGAAGCAGTGTCTCAAAATCTCGCTAAAAAAATGATCGCGTGATATGAAAAATTCTCCGAAACAAAATACTTCATCAAAAAATGCCTTTCAACTAATAAGCTTGGTATTCACTCGTAGATGGAACGACATTAATTCGAAGCTATCTAAACGCAAGTACAAGACAAAAAAGCCGCTATTTGTCCTATTTCTTCTTCTTGATCAACACTTCCTGAAATTTTACAGGGAAATTAGCAGAACTAATAAATAATGCGGTAAATATTTGCAAGTAAAAAACGTTTATTGGAAATAAAGGAAAAAAAACTTCCACACTTAACGCGTTTTTTTTTTTTTGAATTTTCATCAGATGTCATTTCATCGTACAGTATCTGGCAAGTCTCCTGACTAATCCTACCTATACCACACAGTTATCAGATTACTGGAAATCTTAGAATTCACTCCCTGTTTTTCTTCTTCGTTCTTTTAAATGAAAAAGCGAGATGTGCTAATTTCCTTTAGCTGTTCTTGTGCCAGTGATATGATTAAAGCAGTGGAATATGCTCACCTCCCCATTTGGTAATGGTGCAATTAATATTTTGCCACCGCAATGATCCTTCACCAATGCTCGCCACGTCGTTCGATAGCTCTGATCCTTTTCCGGATTCACTGGGCTCCCGTAAACGTTACCGACGATCTGTGGAAGCGCTGAGAGCTGAAAAAAAAAGTATTCACCATAAAAATTATAGGCTTGGGAGCTCAGGCTTTTTTAAAACTAGTAAGAAAAACGCAGTTCTAATTTCTTGAATTTCTAAAAACAATTTAAACAGATAAAGAAAGAGGAAAATACGAACCAAAATAGGATTCGGTGAATGCCTGTCGACTATAATCTCTATCACTTCAGCCAGTTTTTTCAAATCACTTTTCTCCTAAAAACAGTCCTCAGGATTAGAATCAGGAAGATAACGATCTACTCGGCAGAAACCCATAAAATTTCGCAAAAAGAAGCATTAAAATTAGCTAAAAGAAAAACAAACTACGTTGAAACTTGAAAAACTCAGTCTAGGCGCGCCAAAAACCGCTCGAACTAGAAACTGAACGAAAAAACAAAACGTATGTTTCATATTTTTGAACTCCAGGAACATGAAAAATGTATTACTTCTTTTTTTTTTGCAAGATTTATAACAGATAAAATTGAAATATTTTCGACTGCTCATACTGCCCTATTTTTTATAAGCATCTAAGTTCGATGGTCTTTTGAATGGTACAGTTTCTACCCGACCAGATAAAAAAAAAATTACCGATTCCACCCCACCATTAACCAGACCACCATAGTCGTATCCTAGCTC